AAATATATATTTTAAATTTTAGAACCCCCCACATTTAAGGCAATGGAGAAACTGGTGTTTCTTCTCTGATTGTTGTCACTGGAGAGTTTGAAAATCCAAATTAAATGGGCCTGTAAAACTAGTTTTGGTGTTATGTATGCTCTCCATAAGGAAACTGTTTCCATTATTCTACCAAAGTAGAAAAAACGGCGTCACTGGAAGCATCTGAGGAAACAATCATGCAGCACAACATTGGAAATACATAGATCAGGCACCTTCACAGAGCTGCTGAGTCCTCAGGACTGTCACATATGTTGGGGAGAGACCTGGGCGCTGACAGCTGCTGAAAGCCATGCTGGTAAACTCAGCTGTGCATTTGTATCTGGCTTTTCATTTCCAGCTCTCCGTCACTCCAGGACTTTCAAGCAGCTCGGCAATCTCCATTCTCCCCTGTAATCCTACAGGACAAAACCTTCATCATCTGATTTCAGGGGAAATGGAATAGGGCACTACTGCCTCCAGTTACATGCACAAATAGGATTGGACACAGGCCTCGGGCTCCCCTTTTTTCATAAAGACTTGTTTAAAAACCAGGTTTGCAAATCAGTTCTGCTTCAGATTCATTGGTCTTAATTTGACCATGCTTTTGATTAAACCAGGTTGGCAGTAGAAGCAACTGGGAGGGAGGCAACTACTCTTTTTTTTTAATAGTATAGGCGGAACGGGCTGGAGTGATTTCAGTGCTGGCATTATGTTTCTCCAGTGTAGAAAGTGCAGTATAATCAGTCATGGAGCAGCGGCGGAAAAGGACCAGGTGCTCTATATGAGAAAGAATAGCAAACACCTCACCCGGGCTAGGAGAAAAGTACAGGGCACACAATCATGTGTACAGGGCACACTAACAGGGCTGATTTTCTTCTCTGTGTAGGACTTCAATGTGAATTAAGTCATGCAGTGTGCTGGGCTGAGAACATGAGAAAATTTCACCAACAGGTTTGCAAATAAAGAATGGAGGGGAAAAGAAACCCAGGAGGCAAATATTATTCTGCAAAGTAATGTTAATGCACAGAAGAAATTGAGTTATACAGACACAGAAGGGATACAGAGGAGAGAGCAAATACTCCCAAATTTTTACTACCAAGCTGTTTCCATCTATTTATTTACCTTTTTTTTCCTGGAATATTGGCACATGAGAAAAAGCAGCAGGAAAAGAGGGGAATCAGCAGATAGTCCATGATACAGTTTGTGTAGCCAAGATTAAGCAAAAGAAGCAAAAGATAAAAGATAAAAGAGCTTCTCTTTCCTGTTCACACCAAAACCCTTCTGCACCGCTGTGACTATGTCAAGTGGTCTGCAATGGATTACAAGTGAACTCTACGGGAGCAGAGACTTCCTTTTAAATGACAGCAAAGCGTGGAAAGGCCTTAATGTGTAATGACGCAGATAATGCAAAGTTCCTAGAGGGACAAAGCAAAGTGTAGGAAACAGGTGTATGGGGGAGGGAGTCTTCCAGCAACGCAAAGCCCTCACAATGGAGGTACTGAGTGCTTAGCACTGCTCCAGGCCATGTCCTTCGGGTCAGTCATGAATCTGTATCTTGTTTTTCATGTCTGTGTTGCTCCAAATGCCATGAATATTTGATCTGTATTTAGCATGGCCAGAACCTTCCATATCTGCCCCTACCGCGCCACAAAGGGCAACAGCACATACCCTGCCAAATTAGCTGTCCAGTGCATGGATCATAGCAACAATAATAACATGGCTTTCTGCGGCGGGGTCTCCAACAACAGGATGAGTCCTGGTAGCACAGGTCTCCCAACATGCCTAGGCTGTCAGACATCTTCCTGTGCTGGAGGTGAATCTGAAACGCACAGAAGGGGCAGAGGAAACATGACACATGTGCTGTTCTGATGGGATCAAGGGTCAAAACTTGGGTGTGACTCTCAGGGAAAACTGGTAGGGACCTGGAGATTGGGGGACTGAGCAGTAAAATGCTGACCTCAGCCCTCCTTTCTGCCTCTCCTTTTCTCCCCCTCATCTCTTTGCTGCACTTGCCCTCAGCCTCTCCCCTAAAAAACAGCTTTGAAGCCTTCTCACTTTCTTTGCCTGAAAAATGCTGCCTGGAAAGCAGGCTCCAGCTGCAGCAGGAGTGGGGGAGGCAGCCTTTCATCCAGGCCTAGGCAGCCCCTGGCCCGATGGCGCCGGCACCCAGGCCTAGGCAGCCCCTGGCCCGATGGCGCAGGCACAGTCCTGGTACGTGGGGAATGTGCATTCACTTCAGGACCCAGAACCCAAGTCTTCCTCTTTCTGTCTCCGACCACTGGGATCTGGGGGCGAAGGTGGATTGCACCTCTGACACTTGTTGCACTGCACGAAGGATTCAGCCTTAGGCAGTTGGCAGTTCTGGATCCCACAATCCCAGGAAATGTCAGGGCTGCAAGGAATCACCCCAATTGGGGAGAGAGGTGGGGTTTTGGATATTACTCCCTCTGTTCTGGGCTTTTCAGTGGCGGAACTTGCTACCTGGTTTGGATTGTAGGAGCTTGAGTCTCTTCATTTGAACTAAGGGGGCTATGGAAACCTAACTCAGGATTTTGATTGTCTCTCCTGACTGCACACACCTACACTTTGCATAAGACATGGCAGCATTGCCGCAGCTGGGTTCCTTTTTCACTCTGGCCATTAGTGTCCCAAATGCCCTTGAAATGCCAACCTCACTTGAGGAAATCCTAATTCCTGCCAACAAACCAACTGCAACAAAGGCAACAAAAGCAACAAAAACAAGAGAAAGACCTTAAACATTGCTGAAAATCAATAAATACATGTGCAAGATCATTTTTTTTAAATATAAAACTTAAATAGCTCTAAGAGATTGAGCCGAATTGGACTTACCTGGCTCACCAAAGATAAAAGATGAGAAGTGAATGAAGCATCCTCATCTGTGAGCTCTTTTATACAGTTGTCAGACCTCCGGAAGCGTCTGAGGCATCTTTTATACCTGACATCCTTATTAGCTACAAAACATGCGTGTGTCATGTGTGCCAACCCTCCAAATACTGTAATTGTTTCACTCCATGTTTGTAATTATTGTGTTTTTTTACTTTAGCTTGTGACTGGCAAATAACTGCCCCCCAGGTGTCTTTTAAATTAAAAGTTTATGGGTCAACCTTCTTCCTGGTCTTGCTCTATGGAATCCATTGGAGTTGGAGGATTGTGGGTAAGTCTGCAGGGTACGCAGAGCAGTCGTAGGTGGGACCAATTGTTCTCGTGTGCATGAATCCAATTTGCTCCACAGTCTTATATGCTGGGTTTTCTGAAACTCCAATGGGGAAGGAGCCATTGTATAGCATGGTCAGGTGCGCATCTGAAATTTTCTGATTCTGTGGTCACCAAAACCCATGGACATCAGACCATTGACCTGTGGAAGGATTCAGATGATTCACACATCTTGTGAACCCCACTTACACTTTTTAAAAACCTGGAGTGTTGAACTTTAATTGTGTATTATTTAATTTTTTTTTCTGTTATTTTGTATTCTTTTGGCTTTGCTCTGTATTTCCCTGCATGTCAATTAAAATTTCATTTGTTTAATGACTGCCAGTGGTTTCACCAATGCAGCAGGATCAGGATTCAGAACAGAAGACTACTGCTGAGCTGCCTGCTGGCAAATTCTGAGGATGGTATTAGGAGAAAAGAAAGCATGGGGCCTTATGAAAGCTCTGAATTACAGCTGTAAAACTGTATGATATGGATGTCCTTGACTTTTTCCATAGCTAGGCAAGACACTTATTGGCAACTTCATATTTTCCAAATGCAAAGCCTAATAAGATATGCAAGCGAGACAAAAAAAATTCCTGGTCATCTGGGAGCTGCAGATGGAGAGGGTCCAAAGAGACAATATGGTTATGTTCTGCTTCAATACTCTTCTCCTTCACCTGCCCTCATCCACTGTAAGACACCTGCGACCTTCTGGATGGACCTACGATCTGTCCTGTGTGGCATTTCTTGTGTTCTTACTGAGGTGAAGTGTGTTGAGGTGATGAAGCTAATCTGAACCCTGACCAGACTTGGTGTGTGGCAGGAGCCACGTTTGGCAAGGAGCTTCCCACCTTCTAACAGAACAACACCTCAAGAAAGTTTTCATTTAATTTGAGGAAGAAAAAGAGTCTTTCCCTCTTTGTCTCTTTCGAGTGCTCTAGATGTTTATTGCTGTGCTAAGTGATACCAGGTCTGTGAAATCTTAAAGGAAATAGTTTACAAAAAAGGGACAGAAACCGACTGATCATTTTATAATGCAAATTAAAAAGCCCCAAATTCTGAGGCCATAATAACTCATGACCTAATTAAGACTTAAAAACCAGCAAGCTTGATTTGCATTTTCAATGTATCCGTATTGCTAGATACAGGGGTGTCTTCCAGTAGGAAAGTATGACATTTGTAGAAATGCAATGATTTGCCCCTGTAATGATTGTTAATGTAGTGCATCCTAAGTTCTGAGAGGATTAGAATATCCTCTGTGTCTGTTATTATCCTTATTTTTTATTAAACTAAGCAGTGGGACATTGAGGTGAAGGTCACATTATTGCCACTAAATGACTTTAGACACTTGATAGTCCTGACTGCATCTTGTGCAACCTTCAGCCCACTGAGTGAGTCCTGTGAGATTGTGTTGCAAGATAACGGTAGCACTTTGCCGGATTAAATAAGGCTTGGCATTTTGGACTTGTAAATGTGTCATTAACAAGAGTATAATTATTTCAGAGGCACATCCATGTTTGGCTTTCACGTCTCTTGTTTTTTTGGGTCGAGTTTCTTCTGAATCATCTTTCGGAGTAAACAATGACTAAGTACATCATGTTGCCATCTCCTTTCTCTTTTCCGTCTTTGTGGAGGAAGAGAATTCTGCTGAGGACAGCTTATAATCAGAAAAAAAAAACAAGGAAAACAATTATTTCAATGAAAGGTGTGGCATCCACAACAGAACGTTTTGCATCTGAATAAAGGGTGTTTAGCATGTACCAAGCAGTTTCTGAAGCTGTATAAAAGGACTCACAAAACACTGCTCTTTACTCACTTCTCTTGATTTACTCTCTGTTATAAATCAGGTAAGTCTGATTCAGTTCAATCTCTTTTTTAACTATGGGGATGCTGTGTTAAACAATTTTGAACATTAGGACTGAATCTTGCCTATATACGTTGCAATATTTTAGGATTTTAAAGGGAACTAAAGAATGGCAGAATGAGAACTAAACAAAACTAATGGGAATTAAAGGGAACTAAAGAACTAACGTTTGGCTGTTTGAATCATTGAGACAAACTTCATATTCAGCTTTTAATTGCAGAAGCTTTCAAAGAAATGGCAGAAATTTGATAGACACATGGGAATTTGGGATGATAATCTTTTTCTCCCCTAAGGATTAGGTGTTTGAATTAGCTTTTAACTTAGTTGTGTACAGAAGAAATTCCACAGTGCATCCTTTCCAAGTTTTCTATCTGCTTTCAGAAGCAAGTGCTACTTAGCAGTATTGGGGAAAGGACAAAAGATTAACAGAATTGCTCACCTGATGCACTGGGTTTTTTGATGTGTAATTAGAAATATCAGGTACCATAACACTTTCTTTTTCCATGTATTTGTTAGCAAATTTGCTGACTCATAAGGGGTCAGTCACCAAGAATGTTTCTCACATGTCTCTATGTCGGCCTGCATGAAATGTTTTTCAGAAATGATAGGAAGTGGCACTCTTCCCCCCAAAAAGAGCTGAGTTCCCCAGCTTTGAGGGGGCTGGAGAGGGGCTGGTCAGCAGAGCAGTTTAAGGGTAGCAAGGGACAGAGAAGAAGAACTGGGACCCAGCATGTGACCAGAAGCAGAGGGATCTGATGATCCAAGCCCTCATTGATCTCCAAGTTGGCCTTTCTATGGCTGTCATTGCAACCAGCAATAAGTCTTGACTCTTACTGCACTGGAGCTTCAGCATTGCTCAGGGTCTTTCCGTTGCTTTTGTTGCTTTTTTTGCAGTTGGTGGGTGGCAAGAATTGGGGGCCCACCACTGAGGTTGGCATTTCAAGGGCATTTGGGACACTAATGACCAGAGTGAAAGAGGGACCCAGCAGAGGTGATGCTGTGCCATCTCTTGTGAAAAGTGGAGGTGTGCACAGACAGGAGTGAAATCCAAATCCTGAGTTAGGTGTCCATGGCTCCATTAGCTCATCTCTGTGAATCCAAACCAGGCAATGTGCTCAGGCACTGCAAAGTCATGAAGAGAGGGAGCAATATTTGGCATCTCACTTCTCTTCCCAGCTCAGGTGATTCCCTGCATCCCTGATTTGCCTGGGACGGTGAGATCCATAACTGGAAACTGTCTAAGGGTGAATCCTCCTGAAGTGCAAAAAACATCAGACGTGGATATACACCTTCGACCCCCAGATCCCAGTGGTAGGGGACAGAAAGAGGAAGGCTTGGGTTCTGGATCCTGAAGTGAATGCACATTCCCCACGTTCCAGGACTGTCCCTGCACCATTGGTCCAGGGGCTGCCTAGGCCTGGAGTAAAGGCTCCCTGCCCCACTCCTCCTGCAGCTGCCCTACACAGCCCTGGAACCTGCTTCCCAGCCAGGAATGCACATCCCCCACGTCCCAGGACTGTGCCAGCCTCATCGGTCCAGGGGCCCAATGCGAGAAGGTTTTGAAGCTGTTGTATAGGGGAGAGGCTGAGGGGAAGTGCAGTAAGCAGACAACAGGGAGGAAAGGAGAGCAGTGACACAGGCAGAAAGGAGGGCGGAGGTCATCATTTTCCTGCTCCATCCCCCCAGTCTCCGGGTCCCTGCCAGATTTCCCTGAGACTCGCACCCAAGTTTGAACCCTTGATCCCATCAGAACTGCAGTTGTGTCACGTTTCCTCTGCTCCCTGCTGTGTTTCAGGTTCACTTCCAGCACACCAAGATGTTTGACAGCCTGGACATGATTGAAGACCTGCATTACCCGGGCCAGTCTGACTGTTTTCCCCACCAGCGTAGAAGGCCACCATACACGTGTTGTTGCTATGACCAATGGGGAAGGCTGGTCTGGCGAGGTTGCTGCTGGTCTGCACCCCCCTGGTGGTGCCGTTAGGGTGGCTCTGGAAAGGGCTGGCCATGCTAAATGCAGCTAGAATATCCATGGAATTAAGATACAGACTTACAACTGACCCGAAGGACATGGCTTGGAGCAGTGCTAAACACTCAGCACCTCCATTGTGATGGGCTTCACATTGCTAGAAGACTCCCCCCGCATACACCTGTTTCCTACACTTTGCTTTCTCACTCTAGGAACTTTGAATTGTCTGTGCTGTTAAGCATTGAGACCGCTTCATGCTGTGCTGTCCTTTAAAAGGAAGCCTCTGCTATCCATTGCAGACCACATGATACAGCCACAGTTATCAGAAGGGTTTTTGTGTCAACAGGAAGGAGAAGCATGTCTATCCTTTGCTTCTAACTTGAAACTTGGCTGCAGAATCTGCATCATGGGGAAGCTACTTATTCCCCTCTTTACCTGGTGCTTTTCCTCATTTGACATAATTCTGGGAGAAAAGTAGTAAATAAATAGATGGAACCAGCTAGGTAGTAAAAGTCAGCAGCTGCAAAGAAAGAAGCACACCTTGTACAAAATGGGCCGGACGTAGTATCCCAGTTGTGATCCTTTGGCAAACCTTGGGAATATTTGCTCTCTCCTCTGGATCCCTTCTGTGTCTGCATACTCAATTTCTTCTGTGCATTAAAATTACTTTGTAGCATTATATTTGCCTCCTGGGGTATTTTCCCTCCCATTCCTTATTTGCAAACCTGCTGATGAAATTCCCTCCTGTGCAGAGCCCCGCACGCAGCGTGACTTAAGCCCCTTTGAAGTCCTACAGAAAGAAGATAATCAGACCTGGAGCATGTCTATGTGCTCTCTTTTTCCCTCCTAGCCCAGATGGGGGCCTGTTTGCATCCCTGTGTCATCATGTCATTGGAGGCAGTAGTGCCCTATTGCATTTCCACAGAACTCAGAATTGGAAGGTTTCCTCCAGCGCATTTACAAAAGATGCTAAAAGTGCGTAGTGGCAAAAGTTGTGCTAGTGCACTAATGCATGGTAGCATTAAACTACTGCACATTAGTAACACTTGAAAGATGTGCCCTGGTGCTACTGTGCAGCAGTGTTGATTTCCACCCATTATGTTAATGCCCGTTATTAGCAGGGCTTTTTACACCACAGTCTTTGGCACAAGGCACTGAGCACTTTTAGAATTATAAACCATATATCTTACAAGACATTAAAACACCTTGACTCCCACTATCGTGTGACTGGAGTCAATGACTCTTGTTTTCCAATTCCAAAATCTGTTTTGTACCTATAGGCCTATAATAGATGAGTGGAGGAGAACATGACAGTTATTCTAGCTATAGGTTAGCCGCTAGTGACTTTATAGTGAAGATGCAACAGGATTTCAGTTTATGATCCACTTACTCCAAAGGCCCAAAGGCATGTGCAGCAAGATTGGTTTGCAGATTCATTTTATAGATATAGATATAAGCTAGCAAGACAGACTCATGTGCTAACAGTTCCTATATATTGCCCTTAAGAAGCAGATAGGCTTACAGTCTTGTCCCAGGGCTAGCCTGTCCTTACATTATTTCTGGTAAAGCAGGAAAAAATCTCGGCTAGGGACAGACATTACACGTAAACCAGTTTAAGTGATCAGAAACTGGTTTAAACCTGTAACAGGCTGCAGGGCTGTGTGGGGCAGCTACAGCAGGAGTGGGGGAGGCAGCCTTTAGTCCAGGCCTAGGCAGCCCCTGGCCCGATGGTGCAGGCACAGTCCTGGGAGGTGGGGAATGTGCATTCACTTCAGGACTCAGACCCCATGTCTTCCTCTTTCTGCCCCCTGCCACTGGGATCTGGGGGTGAAGGTGGATTCCACCACTGATACTTGTTGCACTGCAGGAAGGATTCAGTTTTAGGCAGTTTTGGATTGTGGAATCCAGTTGTGGATTATACAATCCCAGGCAAAATCAGGGCTGCTGGGAATAATCCCAGTTGGGGACAGAGGTGGGATTTTAGATATTGCTCCCTCTCTTCCTGGCTTTGCAGTGTCTGAACATGCTGCCTGGTTTGGATTGTAGGACCTTGAGTCTGAACATTTGAGCTAAAGGGACCATGGACACCTAACTCAGGATTTTGACTGTCACTCCTGACTGCGCACATCTACAGTTTGCACAAAACACAGCACAGCATCACCTCAGCTGTGTACCTCTTTCACTCCAGCCATTAGTGTCCAAAATACCCTTCAAATGCCAAGCTCCCAGGCTGTGAGCCCCTAATTCCTGCCACCCACCAACTGCAATATAAAACCCAGAACAAATGAAAGACCCTGAGCAATGCTGAAAACCAATGAACAGAACTGCAAGATCAGTTTTTAAATTACAGCGGAAAGAAAGATACTTGTAAGAGATCAAGCTGAATTGGACTTACCTGGCTCACCGAAGAAAGAAGTCAAGTGATTAAAACATCTGTATCTGTGAGAACTTTTATAAAGTTCTCAGACTGCCGGGAGTGTTTGCGGCATCTTCTGTACTTGAGGTGAAAAACATGCGTGTGTTGTGTGTGCCAAACCGCCAAACACTGTAATTGTTTCGCTCCATGTTTGTTATTACTGTGTTTTTTAATTTAGTTGAGGACTGGCAAATTATACTCCCCCACGTGTCTTTTAAATTAATAGTTTATGGGTCAACATTTTTCCTGGTCCTGCTCTATGGACTTCATTGGAGTCAGAGGATTTGGGGTACGTCTGCAGGGTACGCAGAGTAGTCGTAGGCGGGACCATTTGCTCTCATGTGCATGAATCCAGTTTGGTCCACAGTCTTATGTGGGGGGAGGAGGGCTTCTCAAACTCAAACAGGAGGAAGAGCCATTGTTTAGTATGCTCAGGTGCACACCTGAAATTTTCTGGTTCAGTGCCCACCAAAACCCATGGGCGTCAGTGCATTGACTGGTGGAAGGACTGACATGCTTCATATGTATTGTGAACCCCACCTATGATTTTTATAACTTCTGGAGTGCCTTAAGCTTTGACTGTGTATTATTTCACTTTTTCTTAAGGGTTTTTCTGGGTGGGGGTTGGTTGGTTTTTCTGGGTGGGGGTCTCCAGGCTAAATTCTCCCCTTATGTCAATGAGAGATTTATTTATTTATTAATCTCCAGTGGTTTTACCAATGCAGCAACAGCAGGGTTCATGGCAGAAGCCTATTGCTGCGTTGCTTGCCGGTGATGGCAGGGCATGGTTGCAAGAGAACAGAAAGCATGGGGTGTTATGAAATGCCTGAGTAACAACTTTGAAGCTGTATGAGATGAACGTCCTCGACCCCTCGACTTTTTCCATACCGAACTAAGGCAGTTGTTGGCAAGCTCATATATTCCAAATAGAAAACCTGGGAAGATATACAAATGAGAGACAAAGAAACCCCGTTCCTGCTCATCTGGGAGCTGCAGAGGGAGGGTCAGGGAAGAGAACAGTGTGGTTTTGTTCTGCTTCAATATTCTTCGCCTTAGCTTGCCCTTTGCCACTGGAAGACAGCTGCGCCCTTCTGCATGGACCCAGGATCTGTCCCGTGTGGCATTTCTTGTCTTCTTACTGAGGTGAAATGAGCTGACATGACTGAGCTAATGTGAACCCTGCCCAGACTTGGTGTGTGGTGGGAGCCACGTTTTGCAAAGAGCTTCCCACCCTTTTACAGAACAGGTCTCCAAGAAAGTTTTCATTTAATTTGAACCAAGGGAATTCTCTCTCTCTCTCTGTCTTTTGAACACCCTAGAAGTTGAGAGCTGTGTTAAGTGTTACCACCAGCAGATCTGGGCTGTGAAACTTTAAATACAATTTCTTACAGAAAAAAGGTAGAAATTGGCTGCTGCTTTTAAAATGCAATTTAGAAAGCCCCAAATTCCAAGGCTATAATAACACATGACCTAATTAAGGCTTTACAATGAGTGAATTTGATTTGCATATTTAAAATGTCTCTACTGATACATACAGGGGTGTGTCCAGTAGGAAAATTTGAGCTTTGTAGTAATTTAATGATTTTCTCCTATAAGAGCTTTAATGACAGTTAATGAAGTGCTTCAATTTTCTAAATTCTGAGAATATTAGAATATCCACTGTGTCTGTGATTAGCCCTATTTTCAGTGAAACTAAGCCGTGACAGGGTGGGATGAAGTCATGTTATGGCCAGGAAATTTGTTAATAAATTTGATATTTCTGACTCCCACACGTGAACCTGCAACTGCGTGCAGCCTGTGAGACTGTGTTGCAAGATAAGTTTATGCTATGTGCTATTAAATAAGGTTTGGCATTTTGGACTTCTAAATGTGTCATGAACAAGGGTATAATTATTTCAGAGCCACGTCCATGTTTGGCTTTCATGTCTCTTGTTTTTTTGGGTCAAGTTTCTCCTGGACCATCTTCGGAAGTAAAGAACGAGGTAGTACATCATGTGGCCATCTTCTTTCACTTCACCTACTTTGTGCAGAAGAGGAAAACACTGCTGTGGAAAAAGCAAGTGTGGAAATTTCTTGTCTGCTAGTGGAGATGTCACATTGACAAGTTCAGTAGATAGTACAAAGTGGAAAGCTTTTTTATAAGATGCTACAGGCTGTTCAAATGAAAACAATTCTACTTCTCCTCAGCGGTTGATAGTTCCGGAGAATAAAATCTTAATGGGAAAGCCCTGTTCTCTTTAAAATATCCTGTTAGTTCCTCTAGGAACATGAACACTTGATCTGTGCAGGTTTTTTTGAGGATGGAGATGAAGTGTATGGAGTGGAATATGAGTGTGTTGGGCTTGTCAGAAGAAGGGCCAGGGAAAGTGAAAACCCTTGTCTAAGGTACAACCCAGCATCTGAATGACCCTGAACACTTTCTGAGTGTGTGTCGGGAGCTCTGGGACAGTCCTCTCCCTTCCTCGCAGTTCATTGAGTCTTTGTGGCACTATTATAAACAAAATTAATTTATGGAAATGTTATTTACGATGTCAATGTCAAAATGTGTAGAAAACAGCCTGTTAGCTCTACCTTTGTGGTAAATGGTGAATATATTGGCTTCTGTTCTGTATCAAGCTCAATGCCAAGTTCAAAGTGCTGAAGAATTTC